TCAGTAGCTAAGTAATACGCCATAAGCAAAACAGATGGAAATATGAGCTTGCCCAATTGCTCATCTTCACGTGTTTATTCTGTAGGACACTTGGGATTTCCTGCGAGCATGCAGTCTCATTGTAGGGGGTTGCAGATCAGCAGATACAGGCAGATTACGCCGGACCACACGACAGATTTGAGATTCTCACGATCGATGCCATACAGAAGCATGTGTCCACTACCAGTAAAAGACCTCCGTAGGGACGGCTCCTATCTCTTCTGGATGAGTTTGCCACAGAGGCCATGTCGATAAGAAGGCATCGCAGCCTGACTACCGATCCTCCTGTTACTCCAAAAGGCTTACACGGAAACTGAATTACCCTTGCAGTCGGCAATCTTCCACAGCATGACCTGTGTTTCGTCGTGATAGACCTGCCAGTTACCGAGGCAAGCGAGAATGTAGATCCCAGGAAGTAATTGAAAAGAAGTTGAGACGATCACTAGAATCAGAGCTTTATTCCCTGATGTTTCGGATCCACGCTCGAGGCTATCATCATAGACAGCATCAGATACGTATAATGCGTGCATATGGGGTTGCAGTATCTATAATATGCAGTCGCTATGCTATCGCATACAGTTCGTGCACAAACGCCTGCAAAATGTCAAAATTTACGAAAGAATTGTAATCACTCACAAACCAGCATAAGCGCGCGCACGAAAACTTCGACATAATCATGAACCAACCCTAAGCGAATTTATAACTTAAAGGAAATATAAAAAGAACTAATTGGTTGTTTACAAATATTAACGAAAACTCAAGTTACGAAAATGTGAAAAATAGCTATAAATTTTCCCGAACGATGTGAACTCCGATCTGTATAGGATGCACTCACCCTGACATTGTTTGTGAGTAGCGAGCTAATTGGAACCCCAATTGTATATGTTACTCGCCAACTATTAGTAACAATGTTAGTTTACCGACAACACAGACTATTTCACGAAGCTTTTCGGCCTATTTGGGCCTCATCAGATGAAAGTGGGTCAACTCCAGTGTAGCAGCGGAAATTGCCGCCACGCTCGAGTTTCGGACTCGAGTCTCTCCCGCTAGAGGCGAACACTCTATCCCTTGAGCCGCGAGTCCGCCGTGTTTTCGGTTTTTGATCGGGATTATATGTTATGAGGTAATCATACTCCGATCTGTTTCGGATGCACTCACCCTGACATTGTTTGTGAGTAGCGAGCTAAGTGGAACCCCAATTGTATATGTTACTCGCCAACTATTAGAAAAAATGTCTGGATGAGTGCATCCTAAACAGATCGGAGTAGGATTACCTAATAACATATAGTCCCGATCATCGAGAGTGTTTGTCCTTTGGTGCGATAATGGCGGCGTATGATAACCGTCCTGTCCGGCTTGACGGATAAATTCGAGGTTGACACATTCGGCGGTGGAGAGGTCTATTGAGTGCGCAGTCGGCTGCGAAGACCAGGTCATGGATAAAAGTTTTGGGACCTGCCTACCCCGCCTATTGAGAGGATCCTCTTCAGACCATCAGCATGGCAGAAAATGTAGGACCCTTGATGTCATCTCTCGTGCGTCAGCCAACTGTTCAAGCCT